TTACTAGCTCCCATGGCCCCACGACCATTAGCACGTGGTCACATCCATAGCAAGATGGCGGACCAAGTTTCGAACGTGAGTAATTGTCCAAGAAATTGTCTGTCTCTTGCTCAAAAATCTTGAATAAAAGTCTATATTTCGTGGACAATTACTCACCTTCGAAACTTGGTCCGCCATCTTGCTATAGGTGTGACCACGTGCTAATGGTCGTGGGGCTATGGGAGCTAGTAATAAAATTGTCGCGCGATAATATTATCTATCGCGCGATAGAACACTCTATCGCGCGATAAGTTTTTATATCGCGCGATAAGCTGTTCTATCGCGCGATAAGTTGTTCTATCGCGCGATAAGTTGTTCTATCGCGCGATAAGTCGTTCTATAGCGCGAGAAGTCGTTCCATCGCGCGATAAGTCGTTCTGTCGCGCGATAAGTTGTTCTATCGCGCGATAAGTTGTTCTATCGCGCGATAGAACACTCTGTCGCGCGATGAGTTGTTCTATCGCGCGATAAGTTTATCTATCGCGTGATAATGTTGATTGCAAATTTTTGAATGAATGGACTTAGCAAAACTCAGCGCGCGATAAAGTCATGAAAATTTTTGTAGGTGGATGGCCGTTGAGAGCCACCGTAGGAACAGCCCAGGATTCTACTAACTCCACGAACAGGACAAACGCGACATCATCAATGTACACAACATCGTCAGTAACACAAGCAGTCGCCAGACTTTTTCCTGGGACATACACCAGAACCACTACAACCACTTCCCGGCCTAAGAAATCCAGGAAACGTCAAAACGATTCATCTTCCCGCAAGGACTGCAGCTTTTTTCTCAAAGATATTTTGCTGCTACTTAGCCCTGGAATCAAGAAAGTTCCTCGTGGAAAACAGAGAGAAAACCTTCACCTTCAGTGCTATGCTGCATCTGCAGTGGAATTCTGTATTGATTGGTCAGAGAGAAAACTTCGAAGTGCCATTGAGACTGTTTTCAAAGATAAATTACACGACTTGCCTTCGCCAATGTGAGTATAGAATACACGACTTCAATACTATTAAGTCTGTAAATAAAGTCAATGAACGTTTATCAAAAGGGGAATTGCGTCAACTTGTAAATCTGAATTGAATTCGCCCAATTTGGGGCCAGATAGGCTTGCTTCAATCAGGTTACTAGTTTGATTGAAAATATGAATGAAAGAGAAAATTATGATTTAGATTATTTACACGAAAGTTGTTTGATCTTACATTCACCTGGAAAAACTGGGTGTTATTTCAAAAATAATAGCTTTTGAAAGTTCGACTCAACAATTTCCATTTAGAGCTCATTTACGGTGTTCCTTCGTTTCTATAAATTGCCATTATAAAGAGCTCCCTTGTAGTACTCGGAGACAGACGTATTCCTCGGCTTACTATTTTTATCCATCAAACATTTTCTTTTACGCTTTTTGAGGTTTCACTTTGTACGGGGTATTGGTGACATTTTAGTGAGGCCATCCCTTCAAGTAAACCAGGACTGTTCTGCAAAAGTTGTTAAATTATTTGCAAAACAAGGCCCCATCTATGTTAGAGCTGTGGAAAACATTACGTCATGGGGATGGAAAGAGGTGAGTCTGATAATTTTTTCAATTTGATTGTTGCATTACTGTATGCACGTATTGTAATCATCATTAATTGGATCTCATACTTTCCGCTTAAAATAAAAAGGATGAAGAAAGCACTGGAATAGATGATGAAAATCCTGATGTTTCAAATATACAGGTACATGTATTATAATCAGAGCATGTCACTGAAATATCATAATAATGATGTTTCTTAAAATTAAATTTGTCACAGTCATTGATCATTATGCAGTTTGCATTGATATTGTACCCTGCTTGTAATAAAACACAATAGAATATTAAATTATTCTCAAAATTGTATTCAAGCAAAGGTAATGCAAAGCAAGTGTAGAGAACATAGAGGTTGAAATGTGGTGGGAATTAATTTATTCCATATTTATTGTTATGTACTGTGTTCCCTGTACATTGTCTGGCTTTAACTAAATATAAATAATATGCTATCTCATAGTGTCACTGTTCAAGGTATAACACAAAGTAAGACTTCAATGACTGTTCCTTAATATACTTCACTTCACTTCACTTGTACAACTGTGTTATTTTTGGTATACATCACACAGTCTTAATACAGTCAGTGAATATTGTGAAAGGTTTTATTGACATTTTCCAACAAAGAATTTACTAGTAATACTTCTCTGAGTTGCAGCATTACTGTAGTTGTAAAACCAAGTGGGTTATCTTGCATTAAAGGTTTTTTTTCCTCCTTCCTTTCAGGCAGATTCAACAGAAAACCAGCCAAATCTGGTTGATGTCACTGATAGGTTGGTAAAACTGACATAAAAAAGATTGGCTTTGTTACAAAATCAGTACCAGTACTTAAATTTAAAAGATGTCTGATGAGTTATAACTTTTTTTCTTTCATCAATGGCAATGAAGTCAAGCCCAAAAGAATATTCAGTATTCAGAATGAAAATACTAATCCCTTGGCAGGCTTTTCCAATCCAGGACCATCATCTAACCCCACAGAGGGTGAAAAGCTGATCCAGTTGACAGAAATGTTTCCTTCCCACGGTCAACGTGAGTTGCTAGAGGCATTAGCAGTTCACAACACAGTTACTATGATGGCCCTTGCACCATCTACAGTGACCACAAATGAGTCTTCTGACTCAGAAAGCCATCTCATGCAGCCCACCTTTCTTCCAAGAAAGTCTGAAGTACTCACCCTACGTGAAATACTCAACAAACTTCAGAGTAATTTTGGCCCAGACAAGGAAAAAGTTAAGGTTGATGAAGATGATGTACTCAATGATGCCCTTGCCTACTACAAGGAAGGAAATTTTGATGCCAAGAAGAGAATGTGTTATTTACAAGGGGCAACCAGCAGCGGATACAGGTGGAGTCACTTGGCAATTCTACACCCAGCTGCTTGAAGTGATTTCACAGCAGTTCTTTCTGGTGACACCTTTAAAATTCCTATCTACAATTCTAACATGGTGGTCTCAGGTATCATGAAACTTGTGAGTACCATTATAGTCCACAGCATCCTTCAAGGAGGGCCTGGATTGCTGGTATTCAGTCCTTCTGTTTACCATTACCTTGCAACTGGTATCCTAGATGATTCTGTGCAGAGAATTTCTGTAGATGACTGCAGTATTCCCACTAAGCACTTCATAGACAAGGTGGGTACATTGTTCACTCTAAAACTAGCTGTTGTAATGAGGATTTCAGGGGCGTATAGTTTGGGTTTTTCAAGGAAGGGGGGGTTGACACTATCCAGGCTTCTTATCAGATTTTCATTTGGATATCCACACTGCCTTTCTCTAAAAGTGCTATTTTTTTTCTTATGAACGTTGTTTATTGCTTGGGTTTGCATGTTTTCACCATCTCAATCATAAGGTTTTTAAAAGGGTTTGTGGGTATACCAGATCCCCCCCTCCTTGTGCAGCTACACCCCTGGATTGGGACACCTTGTTCCTTGTTCTCTCTGATGACCAGTGTTACTTAGTAGTAGTTTTATTAAGTACTCTAACCACAAATTGAATAGGCACAGAAAGCTGTGTCAAATACATGCTGTGCTCTTTGCCCCGTTTGATATCTTTCTTGTAGAGAGTACTGTTTTTGTTCAGTTAATGGTAACTGTCATGTATTACTTAAGCACTACACACCCCAAACAATATGGCGGTTCGGTAAGTAAAAGACTGTTTAATAATGCGTCATGCGTGCGCATGAGCAAACCATATATGGTAGCACACAACATACAACACACTGGAAAGCCATAACAGTAACTTAAGTTTATATCAAAGTTATGAAATACTGTAGATTAAGATAGAGGTAAAAGAGAACAGAAGGTTTAGTGTACTGTGTTTAAAACCTCATACATTTTGATAAAAGGATAGAACTTGAATTACTGCTTGAACCTCCACAGGTTTTAAAGGCATCTGATGTTTCAACTTTGGATGCAGAGGAAATTGACAATTTTCTGTCAGAGTGTGGTTTAACTGTTGCATTGACTGTAAGTTTAGTCACTTCAAGTTATTAGGAACCTTAAGGTCGAGCAATTCACTGGGTTTAGCGGCCTTTACCACAAAGAAAAGTTTAACATGGAATCAATAGAGGTGTTTTATCAAAGACTCAAAAGGGCAAACTCTCAATCACATCATTTTGCTGTTAAAACTTATTTTCCAAGAACTCCAACAGTCAAAATACTTTGAGGTTATAACAAAACTAGGATAATAGTGACACGTCTGATAATTGTTTTAATATTAATAGTCTGTATCATTTATTTCTTTTTCAGGATTCAAACAAGACAATGGTCTTGCAGGGCATAATAGTGCATGATGTCCTGGGGTGCCCTTAAATACTTCTTGATCAACTGTGAGATGGCCTTGCAGTGTTGTCCTTTGGTGAAAAGATGAAACAATATCCTGACCTTTTCCAGGAATTATTTGTGCTCCAAGACAAGGAGTTGATTCCTAGTGATGTTATCAGGGTATTACAGTTTCCTAAAGCAGCAAGTAGCATGGAAGCCTCTATTGAGAGCTATTTAGTAGAATACTTGCAGAACGATCACTTGAAACACTGAATCAGTTTCTTGTCTTTTCAACTGGTGCACCCTGTTTACCACATTGCGGACTGGGTAAAATTGAAATAAAATGTGACAATGTCACATCAATTTTTGCTTCAACTTGCCTGAAAAGTATAACCTTTCCTCAAGTTTTTCCCGACAAAATGACCTTTTCAAGTTCCCTTGAAGCAGTAATATCCGCTACAACCAAGTCCTTCGACTGTGTGTTGGATCTTGACATGGTGGTTGGCAACAGCAGATTATGTGTCCTTTTTCAAGTTTCTGTTTTAATACTTGTACTGTATTTTCTGAATTACAACCTGGGACCATATTCAGGAAGCAATTCTTTGTTAGGGTTGACGTTAATTTTCTGTTATGAATGAAAGCAAAGGATATGATGCCACAGCAACAAAGGAGAGCTTTGTGAATCTCAGCATAAATGCAGGGCTTCAATGTAAAATGGTACATGCAAAATAACACCCATGGGCATAATATCTTCAGTTTATGTAATACCTTTTGCTTAATAAACAGCTGGTAAAGTTTGAGTTAATGACTGGGCTCTTTCGCATTTTACATTGGCCATACTACACCATTCCTGGAATCAGTAAAGTAATTGTCACTACAGGTAAATGGGGTTTCTTCCAAACAACTATGGGAATTAAATCCTTTTATGTAGTCACACATTGAATGACCATTTGCAGCTATCAGAAAACTTTGATCAAAACAATTTGTCAAAACAAATTGTATTTCAACTAATGCCTCAAAAACAGATACAAGTACTCTCTCTTTATTGTACCAGGTCCATACGTTCTTTGCGGTTGCCAACCACCAGACACCTTGAAAAAGTTCACTAAAACTATTTTCACTGGCTCCTATCTTCTTTGACTACCAGTATTTCCAGCGTAATGACTGAATTTTTTAACAGGTTGTTATTTTTATCTAGTTCATGTTTGTGCAGGCAATGTGCCAATGGTTTCAAAAGAAAAAGTGGTAGTACTTGCCTTAATAAACAAGCATACAATAAATTTTATACAATGAATATATGAAGTTCATATATTTTGAACTGCGGTATTAAATACGTATGATGCACGATACTTCGCAGTAGATAGCGCTATCTACTGCGAAGGATCGTGCATCATACGTAATAAATTTTATGTCGTATATATCTTCATCCCAAATCTTTTGGTCACAGCTTAAGTTCCATGTTTAAACTGTATTAAGGCACAATCACAAAAAATTCCAATAAACCTCATTCCACCACTATCTACCTTCCAGCCAGAACAATTTCTGATTTGTCCATTGACAACAATATCTTTCTAACCTTGCTGTAACGAGTTAACAAAATTTTCAATGGGAGCCAATGTTTGACAGTATAAGTTTACATCACTGCTTTGATCATGACTGAAAGGGTCCGCAAGCTGTACCAGCATTTCTTGTTGAGTTCTGCCCTTCGCCGAGAAAATCCTGCCGTGCTTGAAAATGAAAAACTTGACTCTCTACGCGATAAATCAAATCCTGCACTTCCGTTGACAGGACCACGTTGCTTTGCAAAGCAAGCAATGACATATAGACTCTTAATAACACTACAAAGTCCTCCCCTCTCCTGGCAAGCAAACCACACATGTCTACATTGTCAGTTAAACGATGACGTTCCATTTCATC